CACACACACACACACACACACACACACACACACACACACCTGTGTTCAAAGAAGGACCACCCACAGCCCCACCCACACACCCCGGACATCAAACATAGATTGATGACACAACATGAACTTTGATGGGGAGACATTGTTTTATTAGTGCTCATCATGGCACGTAGTGAAATAAAGGGGGAGGAGTTAGAGCAATGAGGGGCGGGACCAGTGCTAATAGGAAGGAGTCAGTGTCTACTTAAGTTTGTGAAAAAAAATTTCTGGACACGATCAGTGTATCTGGAGGTGGTTAGGGGGGGGGAGTCTATTTCACTGCGAGGTCTGTTTGGTGGGTGGGGTCAGGTATAGGGTGGGACCAATGACTGTAGAAAACATGGACGACGCGACAGCGCCTCCTCGCATTGTGCAAAAATGAAGCCAGAATATCCCACTTGTGGAGGCTGCCATCTTGCATTTTTGGAGCCAGAGTCTGCGCAGTAGTGATTTGAGGTGGAGCGACTGCGTCACGCTCCCGCCCACACACCCGCTGGACATGGCCGGAAACACGCCCTCTACACTTTTTTACGTAGCCCGGCTGCTCCAGTTTTTAGCTGGTTTACCGCGACTGACGACTCGTTAAATTAAGGTAAATACAACGACGTCACTGTTATGAAAAAGACACACAGCTTATCATCTTATAGTTCTACAACATCTAAAATCACTCTGTTGTTAATTCGTTTGCTAGATTAGCCGCTAGCATACGCACTGTGTTGGAGGCTTGTTGCTAGCTAGTTAGCGATGCTACACACCTGTTACTCTAATAGTCTGTGTTATTGAATGATTCAGGACTCCTTAGGTTTTGTTTCCATTTTTAGACAGCGATGAGATCAGCTACACACTCCACAGAGGCCCAGAGTTACTGTTAATATCAAAAATATCATGCTGTCCTTTGAGATTTTAACATAAGACTGTGAGTGTAATGGATCTAAAACTGTTTAAATCTCTACAGCCTGGTAACATGGAAACTTTAAAAACATCAGTAGAAGGTTTCAGTAGTGTAGTCTAATTTGTTCTTTTCATTTAATAATAGAGTCCATATTATATCAACAGCTACATTCACCCTGGAGAGAAACTAGTGAGGCAGACCATCAGGACCAATCTGGGTTTCTGGGTCCAAAGGTTTGGAGAAACTTCTTGCCTTTCTTTCATCACAGCTGTCCTGTGCCAGAAGTTCTGTTGACCCGCTGAAAGAGGCATCATTTAAGAAACACCAGGAAGACTGAAGCTCATCGCATTGATCAAGCAGGACTCATGATCTTCACCAGCAGCTCCCTCACAGGGAAATCTTCCGCACTCCTCCCAGGAGATGGATAAACCCAGCATTTCATGAACACTGTGATGGAGACCTTTGCTTTGTGTAATGTTATAAATACTCGGATACTCCCCAGAGGCTCCAGGCTTTTACATAAAGATATTATATTCAGTCCTGTAGAAAGTTATATATTTAAAAATATGTGATCCTCTCTGGTTACTCTGGTATGAATAACTCTGAATCACTTTATGGTAAATAACCCACCATCTGCAAAAAACTGTGAAAGAATTCCAGATGACAAGTTTGTAGTTCAACATACAAGTGATGACCTTTGACCTTCATCAGGTTTTATTTAATTGTGTCAGAGAAACTCAAACGTGCTCTTCATGCAGCTGAGTACATCAAGTGTTTAAAACGGAAGCTGTGCAGGTCTGAGATCAGCAGCTTTGTGAAACACCAGCATTAACAGCATTAACAGGTCCTGTTAATGCTGATATATAGTGACACAGTTACATGAGTGATTAATCCTTTTGTTTTTTGTCTTTAACTTTATCAATAAAACAGCTGCAGCTTTCACTACAGCACATGTGGTACTTTAACCTTTGTACTGTTTTCATCAGTTCATTTTGCAGTTAACATGTGAACATGTTGGATGATCTGTCTGCTGTCACTGGGTGGTGCTGAGGTCTGAATCTGAGGGCAGCTCCTGTAATCACAAAGAGAACAGAACCATCACAAACTGTAATATAAAGTTTATCTCTTAAATCTAAAATAAAGCTGATCCTTCTGTCCTCACACACTCAGGATCTGAAGCTCTTCTCTTACATTTTTTCAGTTCTACAGTTTAATCCATAGTTACTGAAGTACAAGCTTAAAAAATGGTGTTACTGTCTTTACACATGTGGAGACTGAAAACATGCTGCTGTTTTAAGATATTTAATAATCAGCTCTGCACAGGAGCTGAAGCAGGATGCAGCCTGTTGCTTTTACAGTGTAATACTTGTAATAAAAGTACAGTAACGGTAATTAGTGACTGAGCAGTCCAGAGCGTTTCTCTTGATTTCTTCAGTCAGGGTAAATTCATTCACCTGCACAGCTAAACGAACCCTGACAGCCGAGTCCTTATCTTAGCTAGCTAGGTCTCAGGAGCTAGCTAAGGACGGTAGTTACGGAGTAGCTTACAAACACGTTTAACTTACCGAAAAAGTGCAGCGGGGCCTCGGATCCTTCTGTCGGGGAGTCCAGTTTACTGAAGAACACCTCAGGCTGTCAGGTTAAAACACTCGGTCGTGTTTTCGTAGCGTAAACGCTGGTCCTCCTCTCAGAGCCTACGCTCTATCTGCTATTCCCGAACAGAGATACGCAAGTTTCTCCGTGACTGCAGCTGCCAGTCAAAGCTGCTATGATGACGTTTCACCCCAATTTAACATCACCGCGGTAGGAATTAGAATCAAACTTATGGGAAAGGACATAAATCAGCAACTATTGATAACAAAAGAAAGAATCTATGGAAAAAGATTATCTGAGGAGAATTAATTAATTTTAGTCTGACCCCAGTCCCATCCTCTAACATGGAGGAGGCGGGGTTTATGACCTATACTGCAGCCAGACACCAGGGGGCGATAGAGACGTTTTGGCTTCATTTTTGGGGAGCTGACGCGTCGTCCATGTTTTCTACAGTCAATGGGTGGGACACAGAGGTCTTACCCTGGAAGCTCACATAGGCAATTTTGGACAGCTGACTGAACTTTGGTCCTCCTGGAATCAGGATCTTCTGGGTTGCTTCAGACACAAAACCAGGTGCGTAACCAGTAAGCATGGCAATATGAAGTCAGGGTCACCACTGCATGATCTACCAATCAGGGATCAGCACAACGTTTACTGGATCTATTCATCCTGTTAGGATTTTTACCATGAGGGTTACATTACTACTACCTGCCAGTAGGTGGCAGTATGGCAGTACAGTGACTGCATTCTGTACCTTTCTTCTCATAGCCTTTGTCCTCTTTCTCCTTCTCTCCTTCGGCTTTAGATTTTTCTTTAGTTTCCTCTTTGGCTTCAGGCACTGCTTGGTTCAAAAAGGAAATGAAATACTTAATTTGTATGAGGATTTTGATGTTTTCTGTTTACATTTCTTCTAAAAAATACTAAAAACCTGCCATTAATGCTTCAATAGAAAATGGTTTCAAATTTGCATAAACCTACAATCCGCCCAGTGTCAGTAATCTGACCAATCATGCCATGATGGAGAAATCTCCAAAGGTTCCACTTAATCATTGAAACTTTCAGCCATGGAAACAGTACCTTCGCTTTGGGCAAGATACTAACCCCGAGTTGCTCCATCGGAGTATGAATTTGTGTGCATGTACTTAGAAAGCACTAAGTTTAGAGTCAGTGCTTGTGAGAATGGGTGTGATTGGCTGAATGTGACATGTTATATAGAGCGCTTTGAGTACTCCGGGAAAGTAGAAAAGCGCTATATAAGAATCAGTCCATTTACCATGGATGGATGGGTTGATGGGTGGAGTAATCTATTAACAACAAGGATACTTTCTACACTAATATCTGTTGACTGTGAATCCTAATCTGTTGTTTTTGTACCTTTTTCCTTTGTTGCCTCTCTTGTCATTTCTTGTTTCGTGTCTTTCTTTTCCTCAAACTTCAACCCTCCTGATGGTTCAACAGATTCCTCTCCAGAAGACGTTCTTTCCTTTTTGTTTGATGTAGAATCTACTGCAGGATTCTCACTGCCTGGATCCACTCTTGGATCCACATTAGGAATGTTTCTGTATGGCACAGAAGAATCTGGACCACTTGATTCAGATTTTTCATTTCCTGTCTCTCCTCTGCCTTGCTTTACTGGAAAAGATTCCTGTCCAGCATTGATAGAATTAGATCCAGGCGTTTCAATATTGTCACTTGAAACATTGCCAGGTTCAACCACAGGCATGGGCTGAGAATCAGATCCTGAATCTTGTCCAGGGCCAACTGACTTTGGGTTTTCTGGAACTGGGAAGGTAAAGTCAACAGGTGCTAAATCACCAGCAGGGTCAGACTGATCTATAGTAGCGGACTTTGTGTCTGGTACAGGACCACCTCCATAGGGAGGCAACACGGAGTCCACAGGAATATCTGGAGCTGGAGGGGTAGCATCAGGAGGACGTATTTCTGGAGATGCCCCATCAGGAGAAGGTACATCAGGAGGAGGAAAATCTACTGAAGTATCTGGAGTCTTAGTGGATGGCCCATCTGGAAGTACATCTGGAGAAGGTGGATCAGGAAAAGGTAGGTCAGGAGGAGGTGTATCGGGAGGAAATACATTACGAGAAGGCGGGTCGGGAAGAGGTACATCAGGAGCAGGTTTGTCAGGAGGTGGTCCTTCCAGAGGGAGATCAGGACGAGGAAGTTCTTGAGTAGGTACCTCAAGGAAAGATATATCAGTAGGAGCTCCATCAGGAGCTGGAACATTGAGGGAAGATAAAGCAGGAAGAGATGGTGCACCTGGAAACAGTACATTGGGGGTTGGAACAAAGGAAACTATTTCATCAGGAGTGAGTGTATCTGGAGATGATAGATCAAGAGGGGGCATTTCTGGTAGCTGTATATTATTAGTAAGTGTAACCGGAGATGATGCATCAGGAGAAAGTGTATCCGGAGATAGTATATCCAGTAAAACATCAGGAGAAATTACATCAGGAAGGGCTTCATTAAGAGCAGAAGGTATATCCACAGAGGGAGCTTCCAGTGGTAGATCTGGAGGAGGTACAGCCAGAGGAGGTATATCAGGACGAAGAGAAATTCCATCACGTTTTGTTGTAAAGAGAGTATCTCCAGCCTGACTGATACGGACAGATCCAGTGGGGAGAAAGTCTTCAGATTGAGACCCGTCACCTGGGGAAAACGTTTCTGGGATGGTTGTTAGAGGCAGAATTCCAGCTGATGGTGTTGCGACAGTAGGTGACACAGCACTGGTCACCACCTTCGATATATCAGTCCCAAGCACACCAAAGTCTGAAGTGGAGTTATAGGGTGGACCCAGTGGGTCAGAGATAGACCCTCCAGTGTCAGTACTGCTGCCTTGGACAGTGGGGGTGGTACTGGTAGGACGGCTGGTGGTACTGTCTAGTACTCTGGGAGGTGGTTTTTCTCCAGTCTTCAGACGTGGATTGTTGGGTGGAGCTGTGTCTGTGGTAGGTCCAGCTGTACTGAATGAGTCTGTAAAGGCAACAGAACCTGTAGTACTAATAGTACCACGGACAGCAGTAAGAACTACTGTACCAGTTGTGAGTGTTGAGGTAGAGTCAATAGCAGTTAAAGGAAGGTCAGCTGAATCATTACTACTAGTAAAGTAAGTCACAGTACTAGAGTCAGTCATGTATGTACTGGTACTTGAATTGCCTCCAGTATTAGTAGAAATATCAGCTGAAACCATAAGAGGACCCTCTGTGCTGTTATCAGACATTAATGTGTACATGAATGTAGTCAAAGGAATGTCTTTAGGAGAAGTTGGGTCATTCAAAGTCTTATCAGTCATGCGGTTAGTAGTACTCAAAGCTGTATTAGTATCAGTTTTAGTAGTACTGTCAGTTACAGTAGAAGTGGCTGTAGTACTGTCACTGGTAGTTGTAGTAGTAGTAGTACTGTCAGCTGGGGTACCAAAGTCAGTTTTAGTAGGAACAGTAGCTGTAGTAGTTCTGTTAGTTGTGGCTGTAGTAATGCCAACAGCAGTATTTGTGTCGGTTGGCGTCCTGCTCTCAGGTACAGTAGTAATAGTAGCAGTAGTAGTACTGTCAGTCACTCCATCTGATGTGGCAGGTCTATCAGATGCTTCAGAGTTAGAGTCACCACCTGCTGTCAGAGAAGAAGAGTTACGTCTCTTTAGTAATCTTTTCTCTACAGTCTGCAGAACAGGGTACTGAGGCTTTCCAGTCTAATCTGCATATTCACTGTGAATCCACTGTTTGTTCATTTTATCTTGTGCTTTATTTTATTGTTCTTATTCTGCCATTGTTTTACTAAGTGTTTTATCCTATTGTAAAGTGTCCTTGGGTGACTTGAAAGGCGCTCATAAATAAAATTTATTATTATTATTATTATTATTAATTCTCTGGCTGTAAAAATAAACTGGTGAGCTGGGTGTGTCCCACCATGAAGCCAGACCAGAAAAAGAATGAAAACAAGATCTTTTTACAGCTAAGAGACTCCAGGGAGGTTTTAATGAAAGGGAGTGCAATAAATGAACATTCTCATAACAGCCACGCAGATGGTCAGGCTGACAGACTCCAGAGTAAACCACCTGCTCTCAAAGGCCTCCCTGGAACCAAAACCTGGTCTTAGTGGAACTGCAATCAACCCCATCCCTCATGCAATCCCTAACCAACAACAGAAACCATTTGAGCCATTAATCTTCTAGTCTTGATGCTTATTTTCTTCAAGTCCTGTCTTTAAATCTGAGACTAAACCTCCTTCTCAGCACCCCAAATATCAACATGTTTATACCTGTCCCCTAACAGTCTGAACAGCAGCGCTATTTTAGAAATTATACAGATGTGTTCACACCATCAACAGGTCAACATTGTACAATGAACCACAGCGCAGAGGCTCCTTTTGCAACTGAACCTGGATCTCAAGGTTCGTACAGTTTGGGTTTCTTTTATGCATCTAGCTCATCCTCAGTCACCTGATCTCTGCCATGGCTCATCAGCCTCTGCTCTGCTTGGGTGGGGTTATTATCTCTGGTCCTTCCTGCATAGGGTGCTGAGGCCATAACATTGGGTTTAGTTTGGAGTCTGTTGCAGCCCATCCAGCCACATCTCATCTCCTGTGATTGTAAGAAACACCCGGTCTGTGTCCTGCAGAGGCTTTATGGACATTAACAATTTCTAATGCAGCTAAATCCACAGACTGCTGGACAAATCCTCTCTTTAGCCGAGACTGTTTCCACCCTGTGCTTTAGTCTCAGAAACTTTGAATCGCGTTTGTCCAGAAATTTGAGAATTCAGCTGCTGACTCCTCGGATCTAAAAAAGTCAGTCACTAGCTGATCTACTGATCTATATAGCTTATCTGTTGATCTCTATTCAGTCAGGGTTGCATCTCCTAGGATGAGTGTGTGTGTGTGACAACTAGCAACTTAAAACAACTTACACAGACTAAGAGCATGAGCGGCTCATCTGTTAACTACATAATTAACATCCAAATTTTCCTTGTAGACTGCTATCGTGTGACTGACGGGGATGATGTAACGTGAAGTGAATTCAGCTGCTAAAAGCTCACCTTAGACAAGCTGCACAGAAACGCACAGTTGCTTACAAGTGTAAAGTGCCATGATGCAACACAGACAGGTGAGCAGACAGACAGTTAAGACAGCTAATCAGCTGAGCTGTACTTACTGGCTGCAGGTTCTGTTGCTTCACCTGAGAAGGACATGAATGGAAACAGGTGTAGAGTTTATATTGCTGTTTGCAGGTGCGTGTCTGTGTGCATGTGTAGCTACATACAGGCATTGGCAGTGCCTTTGGGCAGGGGCAGGTATGATCCTGGTCTCCAGGTGCGAGATGTGAACTCTCGGCTGCAGCTCTGACAGTCCTGTCCAGCTGTATTGTGGTCGCATTCACACTGCAGTGTCGCATCGCGCAGCGCACACTGAGATGCATGTAGGTTGCACTTACACCTGAGAAACACACACAAAGAAGGGCTTAGCTTCACCTGAACTTTTACCAACTCATATGAAACTCCTGAAACTAGACCACTAAGATGGACGCTGCTCCTTAAACCTGCATTCTTTCTAATGTCCAGCAGGGAGTGACTCCTCTTGGCTGTGAAGGGGTCTGACTGGACAGAAGTGTACGAGCCTTCAGATCGCTCAGGCGATCTGAGCAGTGAGTACTTTCAGGTCTGACTGAATACAACAGTTTGTCCTGCTCGAAGCAGGCCAGGATTTAGGGCGGGGCTACAGTGGGACTGGTTGAGTTGCTTGTCATGTCAAGATGGTGACAGTGTTCAGCTTGACCATGGATCATCTATCCTCTGTGTATGTCTAAAGTTGATGATGTCAGGTAAGCTTTAAAAGAAAATTCTTCTGAATGTAGTCCAATTTCTTTCCAAAATCTCAAATCCTAATCCTCTTAAACTGGCCTCCCTCTCTGTTCTGCCCCCCTACATGACTTTTTGTGATTAGCTGTAATGTTGGGGAACGCCTGATGATGATGGCTGGCTTTTGGCTCGTCTTGGTTGTGATATAGAGGTTGGTTAACTGGTTTTGGCATTGAAATGGTACATTAGTGTTTGTTTGTGGTTGTTTAGTTTGTTACCCAGTAGGGATGTTGGTCTTTGCAGGGCAAGGACTTGTTTGTCTCATTTGTGAATGTAGCCAGTTGTTGCTGAGTTATAGTTAGATTATGGTAGGTCTTTGTTGGTTACCTGGCAAAAACATCAATGTTGGAAATAGCATAGAAGTATTTCAGCAGGTTGTCTCTCTGGACGTAGGTTCCTCCCAGTGCCGGGCGGAGGAGCCTCAGTCGGAGGTTGGTGAAAGTGAAGAAATCTCTGAGTCCCTTTGTGGTCTCCATCCGAGTGTACAGAGCGTCCATGTTGATCAGCTTTGGACCAGCAAACACCCCGAACCGAGCTCGCACCTCAAACACCACAGATTTCTCTTCCTGTTGGTGAGGAGAAGTTTCAGATAACCACAAATAAATATAAGCTGCACAAATGTGTTCTGCATACTGTGCGGGACCAGCATCAGGGTCCAGTTACAGACCTTAGCGCCGACCCAGCGGGAGTACTGCTCGGTGCAGATGACCCGGGTAATGTTACTTGGTGCTAAATCAGAGACTCGTTTGGGCGACATGCCGAACGCCTCGAGACAGTCGTCGGCATAATACTGATACGGCTGCCAAGTGACACCTGAAACACAAACGCTGATTATTTGACAGTTCACGGTGTTTGTGACTTCCTGTTTCCTGGTTTCAGAATCATCTCCAGACAAAATCCATCTGTAAAAGTTTCATAAATGACTTTGTTTCACCCACATCCATGGATCAGAGGAGACAAGGGTTTCTGAATGATACCCCTCAGACTCTGCACTCAGCTAATTACTCTTCAGTGAAGTTGATCAGCTGAATGTTTCAGGAAATCTCTCAAACATTAGTCAGAACATTAGTCAGAACAGGTTTCCAGTCACCTTTGTCGATGGATTTCTCCAGCACCATGCTGGTTGGACGGCCATATTCGAAGGTAACAACAATGTCATCGACCACCTCCAGACTCTTGTTCCAGGTAAGGGTGATGTTGGCCAATAGGGGCTCAGGAAACCTGGACCATGTGATTGTCTGCCAGTAAGTGATGAGCCCACCCCTCTCCCTGTCTCCCATGAGCTGAGGAGGGTGAGACAGGTCTGGGCTAGAGGCGTCGCACTCATCGCTGCACAGGTACGGGTTCTCCTGAGGAAAGACCACATTGAGCACCAATATTTGATAAAACACGAACACGGGCTGTAAGTTTATAAACAATCAAGAATGTCATTGTCACATTAACATCTGTAGCTCCCGTAACTCCTGAAAAATTGAAAGAATTCCAACGCCTCTTCAAAGCAGCGACTCTGCACATTTCAGTGACAGTCATTATAATCCCAGGCATGGTGTTGCAGGAGCCCCTCGAAGACAAAGGTTGATTGAGAGAAAAGAGGGTGAGTGTGATGGAAGTCCACAGAAAACAGACGTTTTATCAGGAATTTGTGTTCTTTTTACTTTTACCTCATACATTATACATGCTTCCCTTAGGCAGCATCATTAGAAGACATAGCATACATTTACACTGCTATGCAGATGACACCCAGCTCTATCTGTCCATGAAGCCAGATAACACACACCAATGAGTTAAACTGCAGGAATGTCTTAAAAACATAAAGACCTGGATGGCCGCTAACTTTCTGCTTCTTAATTCAGATAAAACTGAGGTTATTGTACTCGGCCCTGAAAAGCTTAGAAATATGGTATCTAACCAGATTCTTACTCTGGGTGGCATTACCTTGGCCTCCAGTAACACTGTGAAATTAATGGAGAGTAATGAGAGCAACTTTAGTGATAGTTTGCAGGATTTGTATGTTATGTAAATTGCCCAAGAAATAGTGTTAAGACTGGATTTATGTTACCCGTAGACAGTGTGTGGCCAAAAATAGAAATTAGAAGTGGGTTTAGAGCTTGATTTGTGGGCATGATTTGTTTCGTTACATTCTAGTTATTATTCTCACCTGCAAGTAAATTTAAAGGGATAAATAAGGAATTAGTTCATTTCTCAGGAGAGAAATGAAAAGGGGGTCTTTTGAGGTTTAAATTTATAATCTTAAATATTTATATGCTGATTATATTGCTTTATAAGAAAGGCCTAACTCTGAGTACACTCTGTGCCAAAAGTGTTGACAGGAAACAACATGGTTTTGCAGAAGCATGGTAACTGCAGTAGAAAGTGAAACCAACTAGGCTGTTTGATCGAAACTTAAAGTGTGGTGTGACGTAGAGAGCAAGTATATAAATAACTAGGCTTCCTTTTTGTGCTTCAGTCCTGGGGTTGTGTGATTTGTGTTCAGGTCTCCATATCCCGGATATGTAAATTAAAGATCATTTTTAAAGTAAAAGACCACTTTGAGCTGTGTCTTTTTTGGCCGTAAAGAATACAAAAGAACCGGAATTTAATAGAACCTTGGAGTCATTTTTGACCAGGACATGTCCTTCAATGCACATATTAAACAAATATGTAAGACTGCTTTCTTCCATTTGTGCAACATCTCTAAAATTAGAAATATCCTGTCTCAGAGTGACGCTGAAAAACTAGTTCATGCATTTATTACTTCCAGGCTGGACGACTGTAATTCATTATTATCAGGAAGTCCAAAAACTCCCTGAAAAGCCTTCAGCTGATCCAAAATGCTGCAGCAAGAGTCCTGACAGGGACTAGAAAGAGAGAGCAGATTTCTCCTGTTTTGGCTTCCTGTTAAATCCAGAATTCAAAATCCTGCTCCTCACATACAAGGTCTTAAATAATCAGGCCCCATCTTATCTTAATGACCTTGTAGTACCATATCACCCTATTAGAGCACTTCGCTCTCGCTCTGCAGGCCTACTTGTTGTTCCTAGAGTATTTAAAAGTAGAATGGGAGGCAGAGCCTTCAGTTTTCAGGCCCCTCTTCTGTGGAACCAGCTTCCAGTTTGGATTCAGGAGACAGACACTATCTCTACTTTCAAGATTAGGCTTCAAACTTTCCTTTTTGCTAAAGCATATAGTTAGGGCTGGACCAGGTGACCCTGAATCCTCCCTTAGTTATGCTGCAATAGACATAGGCTGCCGGGGGATTCCCATGATGCATTGAGTTTTTCCTTTCCAGTCACCTTTCTCACTCACTATGTGTTAACAGACCTCTCTGCATTGAATCATATCTGTTATTAACCTCTGTCTCTCTTCCACAGCATGTCTTTATCCTGTCTTCCTTCTCTCACCCCAACCAATCACAGCAGATGGCCCCGCCCCTCCCTGAGCCTGGTTCTGCCGGAGGTTTCTTCCTGTTAAAAGGGAGTTTTTCCTTCCCACTGTTGCCAAAGTGCTTGCTCATAGGGGGTCATATGATTGTTGGGTTTTTCTCTGTATCTATGAAGCGCCTTGAGGCGACTTATGTTGTGATTTGGCGCTATATAAATAAAATTGAATTGAATTGAATTGAATTAAAAAATGTGCTGTTCGAGATAGTCAGAGTGGACTGAGATGAGGAAAGACCCTAACTTCAGCGCAGAAGTGCTAGTATTAATGGTGAACATGGACCAGCACCGGTGTGGCTTTTCATGGCCAGTGTTTGTAGTTTTATTGTTGCGGGTGCTTCCTGATTTGGTCTAGAGATGGACCGATCCGATATTACGTATCGGTATCGGTCCGATACTGACCTAAATTACTGGATCGGATATCGGAGAAAAATAAAAAATGTAATCCGATCCATTAAATATCACGAAAGCACCTCACATACGCCGTAACTCACCTCAGAACGTTAGCACGTCGGAGCAGTATGCATCACGTGATAGAGCTGGCTGTGGCATGCGGGACCTGTCGGTGGTCTGGATAGCATTTGGAGCTTCGCTAGCAACCCGGCATTTCATCTCCGACAAAGTTATCCCCGAGAGAAGTAAACAAGTGTGTAAGTCCATCTCTGAATGTTTGTAAAGCATTCCTGCGTTAAGCTTAACGAGCGACTGCCTCTCGCTCTCCGGCTGCTACTTCAATCGTGAAACTGCTAATGATCAGCTGATCGGCTTTTCTGTCGCGAGTCTCTCTTGTTTGTTTTTGGTCCACTTTGCGCCAGAAAGAGGAAACCAGCGGCTGAACAACAGCAGCACGTTTAAGCTTGATAAGCTGTTGTTACAATTTATTTAATATTACTTTCTACACCAGGATCGTTTTCTACGTAGCTGACAGGCTGGTAACTGTGCAGGGGCGGATCTAGCAAAGTTTAGCCAGGGGGGCCGATAGGGCATTAACTGGGAAAAGGGGGCACAAAGACATACTTTTCTTTCTTATTCTCATTTAAAATGTCTAGCTTTTAATAAATAATTATCTGACACCCAAAGTTTTAATTTGATGTAAAATGAATAGAAGTCAATTACTGTATATAGTGACTATTAAGTCTAATATATATACCCTAGTAAGCTATAGTACTTTTTCCTTTGGGAAGGTACCATCTGTGCAGTCTGCAATTTTGTTGAAGAAAGATGTTGAATCTATTTAATATTTCTTGAAAAATAATTGATTTCTGTGCATTTTTTTTCACACTGCATCAAATTAAGGTTGATTACGTCGATTAAGCATCATGAGGTGGAGCGTGAGGGGTGGTTCCCTATTTTTTATTTATTTATTTTTGTTGTTGCTGGGAGTTGGAACCCTATTAGTTAGGTTGCTTAATATTTACGCTAAGTACTCTTTAAAATACCAGAATAGGGAGGATGGTGTAGGTTCTAAGTTTATTAGATTGATCAGTATTGCTGAACTATGAAATTTTTTTTTGTATACAGGTATAACAGAATAGCTTTAGTGTAGTTGTTGTTTTAAACTTGAGTATGAACTTGCAGACTTAAAATGCAGCAAGATATTTTAAAAAACAGTTTTGTTGATTAAAAAACACTATATCGGATTCATATCGGTATCGGCAGATATCCAAATTTATGATATCGGTATCGGTATCGGACATAAAAAAGTGGTATCGTGCCATCTCTAATTTGGTCTGACATGCTGTTTGTAGGCGGTTAATACCGATGACGTTTGCAAACACAAACTGTGCGGTGTTCTCACAGCTTCTGTTTGCCTGTGTTTAATTAATGTTGACCTTTAACCTAGGCCTCCGTTATACTTACACATACTTTGTGTAGTCATTAAAGGTCAGTATGCTGTACCTTTACAGAGACTCTAACATGTGCAGAGAGGGATTAACACTGATGCTAATCTGATTAGGGTTTGAAGTTTATCCTTTAACTTCAGCTGCCGTGTGCAGGAGAAATGGCTTTAACTAACCAGCACTAACTAATCACACGAAGAGGGCCGAAAACCTGAAATATATGCTGAAGGAGACGTGTTAGACTCATTCCTGTCAGATGATCATGAAAGTGTTTAAATTTTCATGTAGTTTCCACCAAAATATCCAAACTCAGAGTCCAACATCAGATAACTAGGAAACATTCGGAAGGACCCTGGTCTTGTTAGAAGAGACGGCATCCATCCTGCTTTCGATGGAGCAGCTCCTGCCAAATTTATTAAACCCCCCAAAACGTGACCCGAGTTGGGACCAGGAAGCAGAGGTGCAGTCTTACAGGCCTCTCTGGAGTTTTAAGGAATTGGGTAAACTCATGAAATCTGTTCGATCTGTCGCTAACTTTCTTGGTCACCTGACTAGATGTAGTTTCGACATCAGCACCAGTGACAACGACAGAAGTAAACTCACTACTACGTCTCAGTAATATCACCTAATTTGTTCCAAATAAAAAGGTTTTTAAAAATGAATCCTTGTGTATTTAGTTGTCAGCGTGACCACAATGTAATATAAGCCAATTAGACTCCAAAGTTAACTGACAGTTATTCCAAATGTAATGAATAACTTTAACGAAGTTGCAAACAATACTGAGTTCAACTAAGAATGTCAAAAACATCAAATCTACATTCAAATTGACCAGTTTATAGAAAACCCCGACAAAGCATGCCAGAGCTACTCGGGCCGCTCACGCCAGAGCTGAGTGTGAAAAACAGCCAACACTCGATCACCTTTAGCATGAGGTGGGAACAGGAAACAGGTTTGTGTTGAGGATCTGAGGGTTCGCAGCGGTTGGTACAGGAACAGCAGGTCGATACTCTGAAATGGGATTTAACTTTACTGAGTCAAATCTGAAGAGCAGCAAGCTGGAGTAACATGTTCAGGGTTCCTGGAAAGTTTGGATAGCAAAGCTTATTAATTCCCGTTAAAAGACTGTTACAGTAGTCTGACTCAAAGCATGTGTGGTGGTCTGAATGTAAACTCATTATTGATCCTGTGTGATAAGAAATGTCATTGAATGTTGGGGGGTGTAGATACCTGCACAGATAGCAGGTATCTACACCCACTCTTCACTTTCAAAAACTGTAAACGGCTCCGTCGACACTTTGAACCGTGAACATGTCAACTAAACGCTAACATGAGTTGTTCCCACACTTCATAGCTGATTTCAGATCAGTTAGTCACGCAAGTCTCAGGAGGAAGCTGGCGAAAAGCCGTGCAGGTACAGCCGGGATTCAAACCAGGAACCTTCTTGCTTGGAGGCATAACCACTGTTCCACCCAATGTGATTACAGCTGAGTCTGTTTTTCAGTGGAGCCAGTGGCTCCAGTGTCCATCTGCTGCACAGTCTGAACGTCCTTGTTCATGTTCTGATCATGTTACTGCGCCTGTGTAACCCACTGAACTTCAGCGTGTTTCACGTATGTTGTGAGACGCTTCCTGTTCGACTCTCGGGGTCTTTTCACTGACACAAATGAAATCAATTAGCATTTAGTCTTTGCTTCATTACAGCTGTTACATTTATCAATAATTCAGGCAGGACTTCAGCTTCCCAAAGGAACAATTAGAGAGCCAGCGGGATCACCGTGTCCTCTGTGTGTTTGCAGAGGGGTCCAAACTGTGGCTCGGGGCGCCTGCAGGAGGTCATACAATGACTGACAGGTGATCGTCTACTCTTCCTTGTTTTGGTGAAAGATAACGAGCTGCTCACGTTTAAAATGAGTGAAACACCAACAATTTAAATGTAGTCGGAGAACTTTAAAATAATTTCATCAGCAAACAGTTCAGATGCTGCAGCACCAATCACAAGCTCTCTGTGAAGTGAAACCCTCACCTGTGGACAGAGTTCATCTGACAAACTGAAGTTTGTGGAGTGAAAATGATGAAGAGAGCAGAGCTACAATGTCTTTCTGTGACACAGGCAACAGGAAGTCGGCTCAGAGGTCACCTGTGTGTTCAGGTTTGTGATCAGGTGTGTGTGTTCAGGTGCGTCAGACTGACCAGTGTACAGAATCTCTCAGGTGGGTTTCCGCAGGTGATCCCAGGGGGGTCAACTCTGATCTGCATCACCTCCTTCATGTTGGTTGGGGGCGGCTGACAGGCGTAAAACTCAGGCCCCGCCTTTGAGCCACGCAGAGATCGACAGACATCAAACTGACACCGTCCACGCGGCAGCAGGAGGGCGAGGAGGGTGAGGAGGGCGAGGGCGTGTGAGAGGGACATGATGAACTGTCAGGCAAACAGGAAGTTCAGCTGAAGGTCATGCCATAGTTACAGCTTTGCCAGGCCTACTTCAAACAGGTGGCTACCATGGCAACCATCTGCTTTCTGTGTGGTTGTCATGGTGTGCTAAAGGTTTTGCTCGCCGCCCACAGGCCTGCAGTGGAAGAACAGAAACAGAGCATCAAACGTTGAGTACGCCGTGAACTTGAACCAAACATGTTCACAGACAGGAAACAATCTGCTCAAAATGACCTCACTTCCTGTTTGCAGCTGCCACCTTTGGGCACAGGCTTGTGTTGTCTCTGGAAGCTCGCCTGTGCATTCAAACCAATTATTCATGAATATTTTCTACATTGTTGCCTTCAGCTGAGAGCTTTCACGTGTTTCACTCCTTTAATAAAGGAGGCGCTGCTTTTGTTCAGCCTGGAAACGTAAGGAGCAACGCACCTTACAGGAAGCTACTCAGTCTGCACGAACCGGTCACTACGCTGAGTTGGAACCAGGCGCCCCTTCATTATGGACAAACTGTGAAGAAGTCAGAGACCGGGCAGGCCATTTCTCCCAGTCACATCTCACTGTTACTGGTCATGTGACCGTTGAAGACTCCCAGCAGGACAACCGAACCCTACAGGACCTGAGTACTCTGAGCTGTGATTGGACAAGTCCGCACAAACCCCAGTCGAGACCTGTTCTCCCACCCAAACACGCAGGGAAGCAAGGCTCACATCCACCAGAGAAACGCCGTGAACCTTGGGGATAGAAGAAGACCTGCCGCCCCTCGCCCACCACCTGTCACTGCGGACAGCTGCAAACTGGGGCAGTATCCAGCCCCGCCTTCCTGGAGTCCAGTTCCACAGCTGGAGCCGAGCATCGTGCCATCTCTCAGCCTCAGGCAGGGAAGTACCACAACCCCAACACCCCCCCCCCCCCTCCCCCCCCCAAGTGACATCGCCAAGTTTTTCCTACCACTATAAACACCCTAACCAGCGGCGACCCTGAAGCACTGACCAGCTACTGAAAGCATCCAGATGTTTGTGACCTGCTGGTTTACCTAAAGTCTTTTAATCAGCCGTCATCATGCAGGAGCAGGTGTGTAGATGTTGCTCAGCGTCCTGCAGCCTCTGGAGAAATAAAGCGAGACGGTCCGAGCTCGGCTCAGAGTCTGTGTTTGTTTGTGAGATGGCAGAGATGATTAAACTGAGACGCTCGGTCCTCCGACTCTTCCTCTTTATTAAAATCTTCCTGCTGATGAAACCGGAGCGGGATCAGTACCATGCCTGACACACACTCAGCGTCCACTTCATTAGGAACACCTCCTCACTAATGTCTCGTTTACTTTCAGAAAATCATAATTTTATCACCTGAAGCTTTCAGATCAGTTTTCACCTGAGACACCTTCGTACACACCTGCTCAGGTTATTTCATCCGTGTGTCTGTCTGTCTGCAAGCACACCTGTCTGTGTGACAGCCACTCACCTGTCTGTCTTCAAGTTGATTCTTGATGAGCTGATTAAACGGGCGATCAAACATTCCTCCTCCTCAGCTCCTCTCTTCTTACTGTATTTCCTTTTGTTCCCTTCCTCTTCTCGTTAATCCTCCTCTTCCTCAGCGAGCCTCCTTCTGTTTCTCCTCTAATCCCTCTCCTCATCCCCTCTTCTTTTCTCTCTCAGAGATCTGTCGCTCTGATGGCTCAGCCCTCCCTCTCGCTCTCTCTCTCTCTGGATCAGGTGGTAAAACGGTTCATCTGACGGTTGATAGCGAGGGGTGAATAACCCCGCTAGTCACATGACTGGCATCTGATCCTAACAGGAAACAAACTTTTTTCCTCTGAGATTTAATATTGATATTCTGCACCTGCTCAGGTAAACAAAGGTGTCAGTCACAAATAAACGAAATGGCCAGGAATGGGTTGATGGGCGGAGACCACGTCCCCCGGTCTGACAGGAGGTGGAGTCTTTGAGCTATGAGCTCATGATGTGGTGGTTCTAGTTCAGGTCCACCTGCAGCTCTGTGAGAGCCTTTTAGCCAAACGTTACATCGCTGCTCAGTAAAAAGATCCCTGATGATTAAATTACAAAATATATGCAACAAATTTATGAAATCATTGGAGCAAATCAGCAAAAACGACCATCAGGGTCAGATCCTGATGGAAACTTCCTATAATCTCAGGAATCTTTCTGCTTTTACTGGCTAGTTTGAAGAGAATTTTTAGAGCTACGCTTCTTTTGCATCACTGCTGTGCTGTCGGCTCCTTAGGACTGCCACATGTTTTAGTTTACGGCAAATATCTGAGACCTCTGAGGCTTTGCCCCAGCAGGAACGCATCCCAAGCCCATCCTGTGCTTCCAGGACACCTGGATCAAGGCCACTGTCCTGCAGCGAGGCTCCACATATGAGCACACAGCCTCCTGCAGCACCTCGGCTCCATCCAGTCCATCCTGACTCTAAACCCACCCTGCTCTTCACACAGATGTTGGGGGCTCCACAGATGTCCCAGAGATCCCAGATTGTAGTCAATGTGGGAACACCTGGGAGTCCAGTTCCTGCTCTCAGCCACGGGTTGTTTCACTCACCTGCTGAGCTTGCACACGTGGCTGGCATCACTGGGCAGCAACTGATGGCACCTTTCTCGGCTGCTAACCCAAAGCACATTGTGCGCTGTCAGCCCTGCGTGCTGCACAATAACATTTACTGTTATTTACACTTAGCTAGATTATTGCAATGGTGTTGTGTTTATTATGTTGCTCTCTTCTTTGCTTGTTTTCTCTTCTTTTTTTCACCTGTTGAGGTCATGTCTGTCCCGTCTCTAACTACTGAAAATAAAATAAAATAAATAACAAAGGTTAATCCAATGGACCGATATGGCAAGGCCGTGATGATGCACTTGGTAAAGTAAATCTGTTGGGCATCTTGACCTTCAGACAATAATTCTGATGGCTAAAGAACCAAATCAAACAGGCAAAAGAAAACAAACAAACTAAAAACTGATGGCAGAAGATTGGTTTGGCCTACCCCTGACCAACTGCCACTCCCTCAGCCTGGGCCTGTTGGAGGTGACTTCCTGTTAAAAGGGGGTTCCCCGGACCTTCAGTGCTCATTAAGAATCTCAGAGGTCAGGTGATTTTTGTCTCCGGGGAAGCAGAATGAACAAAGGTCATGGTTACATGTAAACATAGCTGGACTGGCCATCGGGCATACCGGGCATTTGCCTGGTATGCCTCGTTTTTATGGGCCGATGGGGTTTTTTTTCCGTTTTTTTCCGTAATGGTATAAACAATGAAAGGTGGTGGATTGGCCAGAT